TTATCGCCTGGATTTAGATTTTCATCAAAAAACTTGTGCTCAGCAAAATTATAGAGCTGCAACAATAATCACTGAAGCATGCAACAGAAGAGGGAGGAAAATGAAAGATTTCCACCAATTAACAGTTATGGAGGAGTAGGGGGATATCTCAGTAATCCACAGGGAAACTCTAAAATCAGTCCTCAGGGACAAAATACTCTCTTTCATTTCAGGAAAGAAAAAAGGCCTGGAAAACGATAAGTAAATCTCTTGATATACAAAATTCAGTGACTAGAAAGGCACATCCTGTTCTAGACTACATTAAGGTGGGAGGTACAGGGGGGTGTGAAAAAAATTAATTCAAACAGAACCTGTGACAGCTACAAACTAATCAGGGTTTTGTGACATTGTTGGCCAGATTACAACTTGCTGGAATAGCAGTCTGGCCAGCCCATACGATTTCATCATGGCACGTGTAGTATTAATGTTTTATTTAAAGCCTTAACTTGTGGGCATAGGTGATTCATTTTAACAAAAACAAAGACCCACTTTTAGTCTCCCAGTTGCAGAAAACAGCTTAAAATTGTGACCCGAGAGCACCTTAAAGGTTCAGAAAAATAAAACACATCATAACATAAAACTAAGGTTTATTTTCTTTTTTTAAATCCAGCTTTGAGATTCGGGGGAGGAGGGGGTGTGATTCATCTTTAAATATCTGGGGTTGGCGAAAGTGTAAAAGACTATTGCAAAATCAGCCCCAAAGTAAACACCAGATTTAAAACTGCCCAGTGTATACTACTTTACCTGAGCAGTTGCACCGTTAGACTTATGTTCATACAACTTCTCATGGACAGTAAATTTTGAGCCAGTGGCCGAAGACTTTTTTTTCTCCTTTTAGTTAAACAAGTTGCAGAGAAAGCAAGTAATAGAGCTTATGTCAATCATTTGTAGAAAAAGAAAAATATCTAAGTGCAAATATCAAATTCCAAATATTTAGTAATCCACCAGAAGCACAATGTGAACCTCTCAGTATCCTGGAGGTTGAAATACGCCTGAAAAAGCAACTCATCTAACCATTTCACATAATGAAAGATACCCTAGAGATCACCTCTTTGTGGACAGTTTGCCAGCCAGAGGATACATGATATAAACCAGTGCTCTACAAACTTTTTTGATCATGCACCCCATCAGTAAAAATTTTTGAGCACACCCCCCCAATATATGCATATTTATATAAATATACATCTAAATAGAAGTTCTAATATTTTCTTCCCGCACCCCAGTGGATTGTCTTGCGCACCCCTGGGGTGTGCGCACCCCACTTTGGAGACCACTGATATAAACGGTGAGCAGCAAAAGTTCTCGCAGTGGGAGCTACCCAGAAACATCATCACTTCCTCCAAATCAGAGGCACAGCTATGGGCATAAAGATGGCCCTCCAATATGCCAGCCTCTTCATGAGCCACCTGGAGGAAGAATTTCTAGAAACTGCACCATCAAACCTGCACTATACCCGCGTTACACAGATGATGTTTTCATTATCTGGACTGAACACCTGGACTTGCTATATCCACTACAGATTTAACAATCATCACCCTCACTCATAAGCTAGCTGGACACTAAGAAACAAGGCCTGAACACTGATATTGGATTTATGGTCTGTTATAATTTATCCAACTCCTGAATAATTTTCACACAAGGGAAGTGAGACTGACAACCCTCCCCCCAACACCTTCCTTTTGCTAGGTCTTGATCTCCCAGTACTCAGCTTCTTTTCTTTTGCTAATTGGGTGCACTATGCCTGAGACTTTCAGCCCCTCCCCTACACTGTGCTTCACTTGCTGTGCCTAGCCTCCTACAATCAGAGACCTGAGGGAGAATGTCTTGCATCTGAAAGCTTGTCTAACTTTTATCCCTACTACACAGTTGCTCCAATAAGAGTGTCACTAAATCGTTTCTCAGCCTTTTGCCTAAGATCAAGCAAGACCGAGGGCATCTGAACCCCAAGGCCTCCGAGCCTGGGGCTTCCACGTAGGATACCTGCCTGGGGAGTATCCAAAGCCCCAGACTAATGGAGGAGAATACCTGCCCGGTTATAGAGCCACACAGACTTGATGATTGAACTCTGCTCGGTCAGATTTGGGACCTTGCCCAATTGCATTTGGAACTGACCTGAACAAGATAAAAATAAATAAGCGCTGTCACCCTAAGAAAGCCTCTGGCATCATTTCTGGACCACCACAGCTACAACATCACTCTCACACTACTTAGAAACCAAGAGCTTCAGTGGTTGCCCTGGTCCCAGGCAGCTAGACCTTGCCCTGCACCAGACCTGCCCACCCGCAGGAGGCAGAGATGTGCACAGGCTGCAAGCAGGGCGGAGTAGCTGCAATCCCTTACCCAGCTCCACGCCTGGATTCCTGGCTGACATGATCCCAGAGCCTCACCGGGAACAGCAATGGGCTGGGCTTCACCACTTCCTGGTCTGCCTCCCTCCTTCCTCCCCTACATGGGACAGGCAGGAAAGAGCAGCTGATCAAGCCAGAAGGGGGTTGTTCATTGGCTTTCACAGGCAGGCTGGGAGGAGCTTTGTACAAGTAACCTCCTTCCGCTCAGCAGCCTGGCTGGACTGTCACAAGGGATCTCTTCTCCAAGTAAAACTGATTAAGCCTGAAATGGTCCTTTTTCAGAAATAGCCATCCTCCTTACTTATGCATTCATACATGGACACCCACCACCTAGCCTACGTTGGTTTGCAACAGGAAGAATCCTCCAGCCCCTCCAATCTTACTCTCCTCCGTTGCAGGCGCTAGGGTCTGATGTGTTTTTCTGCATGTGCCACAGCAATTCACTCTGGGCAAAATACGCAAACGGTGTAAACAGAGTAAGAGTTGAGAGCTAGTTGCTACTGCACACATTAAGGAAACAAGTATAGATGCACCATAAACCCTTGTAGTACTGGGGTACCGAGAAATAACAACTCAATTGTACATGAAGACATACAAAAAAGCTAGAACTCTTGGTTCCAAAATGATACCTTTTATTAGACCAGCTGGAAAATGGCAAGAAAATTGTCCTTTTCTGCAAGCTCTCAGGATCAAGGTCACTTCATCGGGCTCCGGGAAAAAGTGTAGGTGGTACAAGACAGTAAAAAGTCCCATAGGTAAGAAATAAACTTCATTAGAGAACAAGGAGGGATTTTTTACCTCCCTGCCTGCCATCTGACACCTCCAGGGAAGGAATTCTACCTGATCAACACATCAGAGAGCTACTTAAAACAGCTGTTTTAAGACACTCTCATGGACCCAGAGGGACAACCTTCCATCTTCAGCTCCCTCTGTGCAAAAATGAAGTTTCCTACCTATGGGGAGTTTTAACCATCTTGTACCACTTTTCCCAGAGCCTGATGCAGGGACTTTTCAGTCTTCTTGTAATCGAAAATGAGCCACCATGCTTACACAAGCAAGTCAGGTTCTGAAATTCTCTGGTCTTCCCAGATGGCTTCAGTAGGGTATAGGTCTCAAAAACCTGGTATCAATCAGTGGAAGCTTTCTCCTCATATACATAATTTGGAATGGATTTGAACAAGATAAAAATAAATAAACAAGATAAAAATAAAAACTGTCACCCTAAGAAAGCCTCTGGCATAATTTCTGGACCACCACAGCTACTATATCACTCTCACACTACTTAGAAACCAAGAGTTTCAGTGGTTGGCCATTTTACTTTGTAATCCAAAATGTTTATGTATAGCAGTGATTCTCAACCAGGATGCCAGTGGTACCCTATGGTACCACTGGAAGTGAGATAAGCAGAGAAGAGCAGGCACAGGTTCTCTACCAGACCATTCCCCAGCCCCACTCTGCTAGCTGGCTGACCACTCTTGCAGAAGGTAAGTATTATAATAGATTAGTTTTTGAAATGGGGTGCTATTCAAGGCCAACAAAGAGTATCTTGAGTCTAAATCGGTCGAGGATCAGTGATGTATACAGAACTTTGTGGCCATGTTTATTTTTTCCCTTTCCTACATTTCTCTATTTCAACATGGTTTAATATTGAAAAACGGCATCCCTTTTCTTAAGTTCAAGTTTATTATGGTGCATTCACTGTATTATTTATTTTGTTAAAAGTCTTTAACGTTAATAGAGGATCTTCTGGAACCTCGCTTAAGACAGGGTAATTCAAAGGGCAAGGAGTGAGCACAGATTTTAGAGATCTAGACCAGTATCATTCTGCATCTTCAACACTGGAAAACAAAACCAATTTAAAGTTAAAATGAAAAGAATACCTTTAGAAATTTCACAGCTAAGAACTCATTCTTAGTGACACTTCAGATAACTTCATTTCACAAATTAAAATATGCTGTTTTTGACTCTTAAGTCTGAAATAACCATTTCATTTTAGAATCCCATTTTTAAAGCCTTGCCTAGAATTTGCCAATCACCATTCTATTTGACCTTAGATAAATTAATTTGACTCCAACACAGAAGTAAAATTCACCCTTGAGAACTTATTTCATAACCATGTCAAACAACACCTACATTTGTTTTTAACACTAAAATACAGAATGAGAAACTACAAATCACCGCAGTGTATCTCCCACCTCCTGTTTTTAGAAAAGGCTTCTCTCTCCACTTACCCTAGTCAGTGCAGTTACAAGTCTTTCATTTTAATTTCTTTTTAAACATTTCCAAGTATGATAAAGCTACATGAAAGGGTTTTTGTTTGTTTGATTTTTACGAGCCAGTCTGGTATTTTCTAAGAACTGTTTTTCTATATATAAGAGGGTGGGGAAACAAAACAAAACAACAAATACACATTTAAATTCATTCACATAGCACAAACCACATTTCCCCCCTCTCCCACATTTAGAATTTAATGGCAGAACAGAAGAAGCATGTTGTCAAAAGCTACTTTATCTTGAAGCCATATTTGATAAATCGTTCCTTTATTACTCCCTTAAAAAGGAAGAAAGTTGGCAATCAGGCTTTTGTAAACACATGTAGTGCATAGATGAAAAAAAAACCTGTACACAAGATTTAAGTGATTACAAATTTAAGAATAGCAATGACATTTTTCTTTAATGAAGAAAGTATATTATTGATAGAAAGGAGTACTCTATTTTGAAACTTAGTCTGGATGCCTAAACCCACACTGTAGAGATTTATCAGTGGTACCTCTACAGGAATATGTTCAGCTTTCTTCAGATGCATTTTATACTTCTGTTTTTCCAATTTTTTTCTTTTTATTTGACAGAGGTTTGCTTACATTCAAAGGTTTAAAAAGTAAAAGATACAAGGCTTGTGAAAGAGGATACTCATCATCCGCTATTCCAGAGACTTTAATACTAAAACATGCTCATTCTCATCTCTTTCCTTTTTTGCATAATACAAAACCAATGAATGCTGGAAAGGACAGAGTAATAACTGTTACTTCTATTCCACAATCCCAATGCTAACAATAAGATGAGTCGGTTGAGAGGCATTTTATTTAGACAACTGAAAACAGATGTTCAGAAGCGATGTACAATGGAACAGAAAAAATGAACTGAATATTTTAGTATACAATCCCTTCTTTATAACTAAAGCCAAATCTTCCAACTTTCAGAAAAAAAATTGGTAAAAGCTGTTATATTTCTTCTCCATAATAAAGAAAACACACTACAATGAGTTCTAATTGAAATTGGGAGAGACTGGATCTTGGCTTGCACACCTTCATTCAAAAAGACAGTAGGCAGCTGAGCTAAAAGATAGCAAAACTCTACTAGTCTTCTTTTTTGATATTCATTTCTCCTACAAAACAACACTTAGCCAGTTCCAACGCATTCTCATCAATTACAGCCCATCTTTGCCTTATGTAGAGAGTACACTCTGGAAGGCCCCTGCTTATCACTGCTTGTTTAGGTCATTACATCCATGTGTTGCATAACAGTTGTGATGTTCAAGCTTTAACTTCAGGAGTTGAGCTGTACACAGAATCTGAGTTTTCAGAGGGAAGCTCTTCTGCAAATAAAATTAAAAGGCATCAGGGTAAACTTCATCTTAGTTATAAAAAACACCCAAACAATCATGGCAGTGATTTCTCCAAAGATATAAAAGATGACTGGAATCCATCTTTCATGCTAACTCTTTGGAACTGTTCACACAACTAATACAATTTGCAGTATTACACACAGTGTGTTCACTATTCTATAGAAAAACATAAACGTAACAAGAAAACTATTTTCCATGTATTCTCAAGGAAACTAAAATTAAGGGATCTTATAAACTTTTTAGAAGTGCCAACAGAGAATTTACCATTTCTCTTCGTTATACCCTTAAGCATGTAGATCCAGACTAAGCGTCCTGCATACAATCTGAATTGCTAGGCAGTGTGAGGGAGGTACATTACCTATTTCTTCCTCTGCAGTTCCTGGAAGGCTGGTCCTTGCTTTTGCCAACTCTGCACCTTCCTCTTCTGGGACACAAAAAGACAAAATTTATTCTACGATTTCCATTTTTCCTCTCTATGGGTCATTTCCTCTATTTCTCATTTCCATTTTTAACAGGTGATGATAAATTTCTTTTATGCTTTTGTCTAGTGGAGGAGGGGGGAGGGAAGTGTTTTTCAGGAAAGGTTATTTGTTTGGTAAATGCTTTCCACCACTAGACAGCAGTTTTGCAATTTGGTAGGTGTTTCTTATTGCTCTTGTTTTACTCCTCAGTTTTAATTTCCCATGATTTGACACTACTTTCTGCTTAAGCATTCATGTACACTCATTCCTAATATCCTGATATTTCTGAAATTTATATTACTAAAATATTTATCTTCTTGCTCCATACAATCATATCTTAAATTTCTGTAATAAAAAGGAAAGAAATACAATTTAATGTATGGAAGTTTACTTAAAATATTCACTGAGCTTTTATTTAATACATTTATAGGTTTGAAATGGATAACTGACAGCTGCAAAAGAAAAGCCCAGAGCACATTAAGCTGAACAAATCTGATCTACAGATCAACTTACTTCCTTTATGCTTGGCAAAACTCATGCAGGTCACACATTCAACTAGCAGTTTTTATATAAAATACTGCCTTGTTAATAATTAATTGTTAGACTTTGAACGTATTTTTAGAAGTTATAATGCAACTAAATTTTACCCGAAGTACCCAAGTTCTTACCAGGGACTACACATTTCCAGAGACCATACGTTTTCCCTACTGTTGTCTGCCAGAGTCTTAGTGTTCCGTCCTCAGAGCCACTAGCATACAACTCTCCATCTGGGCTAAATCTCACACAGTGAATGGGACCAAAATGCCCTTTGTAGGATTCTATGAGAAAAATAATTTTGGAAGTGTTAATTTCAAAAGCTTAAGCAACAAATGGAACAAATACAGCTAAAAACAGGTAAGAGGAGATATAAATACAGCACCTCTCAGCATATGCAGCTTCTAAGTCTAATAAATATAAGCAAAAATTGTATCTCCTTGAACTTGGGTGCCTATCAAAAGGTTAATT